GAGAGAGAGAGAGAGAGAGAGAGAGAGAGAGAGAGAGAAGAGATGAACTTAAAATGAGAGGAAGAGGAAGGGTTGGGAGAAATGAACGAGGCTTAGAGCCTCGTTCGGGTCTGAACTTATATAGATAATTTATGTGTCTCGTAAGTTTGCCGTAAACATGCCAGGTTCCTCCACGCGGAACAGTTTCCTGAGCTCCTTTCTACCAAGTTTTATCTGAAAAAACGAGAAAGAGAGTGAGAAGAAGACGATTCATGTGATTTATTTCTAGAAAACATAAGGAGCTCCAGCGATGACTACCTCCAGCTCCAACGATGATGATTCAAGCCTTGGTGGTCTTTTAATTTGGTTTTCTCTTTTATTTAGTTTTGGATTGGTAGCTTTTCTTTGGTGTTTGATTTTATTTAATTTTTGGATTCAGCAAAGTAAAACATTGGTTATGAACTTATGAGTTATAAATTAATGAAATATATTTTCTGCAATTATTTTTATTTTGTATATTAATTTGTTTTGGGTTTGACAAAAATAACTACAACTATTGTTTTGAATAAAAATAAGCAAATCAATGACTGATGAATTATGTCGAGTTGCATCGATGACTTAAATCATATTCCAAAGTGGCCTGAAGCATTGTAGGCCTGAAGCGTTTTGGAGTTGCCTGAATCGTATATTATCACCTGTCCCACAGACTGACCTGCAAAGGCTTGTACATATAGCGGGACGGATTTGGAAAACCATTTTGGAGAACGCAGCCCATGTGGACCTGACCTGCTATGATCCACTTAAAAAAAATTCTGCCACGATCCACTTAAAAAAAATCATGGTGCGATTCAGAACAGGATGGGACGGGACAACTTGGTTTACTATCTCTAAAATCTACTATGTATAAAACTTACTAAAATAATTATTATAAAATAAAAAAGAAGTTTTTATCATAAATTTTTCAAAGATATTCATTGTGTTTTTTTAACTTAAATCTGGAAGATATTCAGTATGCTGCAAATGGAACAATAGGAAGTAGATTTTCAAAAAATGGCTAAGAATAATACAATTATATATGTATTTTCATAAGACATATATAATTATTGTTATAAAATCATCTATATCATGTTTTCATTATTTGAAATAAGATAATTACCAGCATTAAAAATAATAATTAGTGTGATTTTCTTCTGTTATCATTTTTATAAAGTACAAATTGATAGGCGAGTTGACTATGTTCTTGAACGCAAAAGTCTTGTTTCTGGAAGGAATCTATTATAAAGAGCTAGGACATTATTATTGGTCATTTCGATTGCCCCACAAGTACTAGCGTTGCCTAGATTGATGTGAACAATTACTATTCAACTTGTAAATCATTTGTACATTCGTAGTTGAAAGTAGGTCTCGGATGGATTGGGTATTCGAAGTATTTTTAAGTATCCGTATCCAAAGATCCAGATCCCTATCCGGTGGATTCATATTTTTACTAATATTAGTCGGATCAAGGATTTAGAATATTCGGATGTCTAGATATTCGTCTAGAAGTTATAATATCTAGATCTAAATTTGCATCTTAAAAAATATTATATATATAAATATTAATGATAAAAAAACTACAAGTATAAATAATATTTTTAATTATTTATAGGGGGAATTACCAAAACCAACCCAAATATTCATTTTAACCCTAAAGGTGTACCTCATATTCAATCAATTGCAAACCCAACCTAAATGGGTGTTAAAACTACTATTTAGCCCTTATGAACAAACAAAAAACGCAGAATATATTTTCCGATTTTATCCTTCGTAGGTCTACACTTTAAGAAAGAAGTCTACAACTAGGTAGACTTACATTAACGTCTACTGTGTAGACTAATGTAGACTTATTATTTAGTCTACATCTTAATTTAATCAAATCATTTAATTTTAAAATGTAAAAAAAAAATTTTTTGGTAATTTTTTTAATAAATCATCAATTTAAAGGTTAGTATGAGGTATATAAATTAAATTTTCTTATAATTGAACAATTTAAAAGAATGTATATTGATTCGGGAACTATGTTGTAGACAATGTTAATAGTTTAGCAACCAAAGGTTCTGACATGTTATGTCTTTTAGAGTTAGATTCTTAGGGTTAGATTCTAGATTTAGAATTATTTTGTTTTAATGATTCAAAATTGCATATTTAATGTTGAGTAGTTTATATTTTGTATATATGGTATTTGGTACAATGACTAAGATTTTTTTTTATAATTAATCAAACGTTTAGGATTTAGGGTTTGAGATTTCTGGTTTAGGGTATAGTAGACTTACAGTTAAGTCTACTTATATGTAGACGTATTTCAGTCTACGTTAATTTGTGTTTACCAAAATAAATTATTTTAAAATTAAAATTAACTAAGCGGGAAGTGAAAATGAATTTTGGAGCCTATTTTTCCATATTGGCGCCAATATTTAGAGTATAGTAGATTTACAGTAAAGTCTACTTATATGTAGATGTCTATTTCAGTCTAGGTTAATTTGTGTTTACCAAAATAAATTATTTTAAAATTAAAATTAACGAAGCTGAAAGTGAAAATGAATTTTGGAGCCTATTTTTCCATATTGGCGCTAATATTTAGGGTATAGTAGACTTACAGTAAAGTCTACTTATATGTAGACGTCTATTTCAGTCTACATTAACCAATTTAACCTAACCGAAAAAATTACACAGCGTATAAATACTTTTTTAGGGTTTTGTGGTAAAAAGAATCCTAATCACGCCGTTTAGATCTGAGGCGGTTTAGGGGGCGATTTCCGGTGAGATTTCTGACAAACCCTCTTCGACTCCGTTTTCACACCCAGCCACCTTCCTCTCGGAATCACCATTCACCACCACGACCATCACCACTATCCTCTCCCATGCTTCAGCCATCTCTACCTTGTCTCCTCCTCATCTCCTCGTCGTTACCACCATTACTCTCCGCCTCGTCTCCTCCTCATCTCCACCATTACTTTCCGCCCTGTCTCCTCCTCATCTCCTCCTCGTCATCACCATTACTCTCCTCCCTGTATCTCTCTCTCTCTCTCTCTCTCTCTCTATATGTGTTTATAAAGAGACTCTGCATCTCTTATTGTTCTGATTAAAGTGTTCAATTTTCGTTCTAGGGTTTGTATATGTTCAATTTATTTGTTGTAAAATGAAATGCATATGTCGTTGACGAAAATTGATGAAGTATTTTGAGTTAATACAAGTTTATAGTGTACAAGCATGTGTTGTGTTTTATTGATTTCTCTGGCTCTCTTTGTTGCAGGTTGCTCTCAGAATGATGAAGACAAGAACTCGAAACTCGGTTTGCCTCAGCGGCTCGGTGAGCCTCTAGAGGAAGTCTTATCACTCACCTCTTCCCGATATGTCTACTGATGACCTTGTCAAGCTCTTCCCTTCTCGTATTCGCAGAAGGTAAAAGACATTGATTAAAGAGACTTCCGACCGTAGATGATGTTCTGTAATGGATATGTTTTAGGTTTGTTGTAACATTTTTTTACTTGTCTGAAAATGGTTTTAGGTTTTCTAGAGGTTTGACCAGGAAGCCAATGGCTCTGATTAAGAAGCTCCGTAAGGTGGTAAGTCATTTCATTTCGCTATTAAGTCTCGTCCTTTGTTGCTGTTGTTGTTTGATTGGGCTTGAATCAGTTATGTTTTACTGTTCGTATGTGATTGAATGATTTGTGATGATAGTTGTAGATAATTGAATCTCTTCATTGTAATTTTTTTGGTGGAAAGTTTATTTTAGGTTTCAGATTCTGTTTAGAGAAACATTGATTGTTCATTATATTTTCGGATGCATTGTCTTAGATTCTGTATAGAGAAACACTGATTTTTTATTATACAGTTGGATGCATTGGGTTAGCTTAAGCTTGTTTTGTTCCTTATTCTGGTCGCATGTTCTATCTTGTTTCGTACTTCTGGTTCACAAGGCTTAGTTTTTAGATGTTTTGATAGCTTCCCTCGTAGACACCTTATAGACTTGTGCTACTCTGTTCAGGATCACTTATTTTCTCTGAAATGCTTTCTTGAGTTATGTTAAAGTTTCTTGATTGAATTCTTTGATCACTGTCATGAATGATATCATGATTATTATTTGTTGTGTATAGTTCAGTGGATGATTTGGAACGTCCAAATTGCTTAGCAGTTTACCAATTTTTCTCACTTTGTGTGTTTGACTTTATTCTTTGATATGTTGCAGTTCCCGTTATTCTGTAGTGATAGAGAGTATGTAATTGGTCGGAGGATATGGAACTGTGGCGAAACTTATTACTGTGTTACAAAGGTATTGGAGAGCACAGAGTATAAGTGTAACAGTTGTTTTAATTACACTCTAATGATCATCTCTTGTTGTTGCTTCAGGGAGTATCTGTTCCTTGTTTACCACGTAACAACAAACAAAAACGTGTAGACTTGTTCTACACTAGCTGGTGCATTGGACCAGGTAAAAATCACTTTGTAATTATCCAAACATTGAAATAACATAGCTTAATGATGTTATATATCACTTTATGCAGTGGAGTCAAGAAGAGACGATGGAGTAACAAGTGCCTGTTAAGTGATTTTGTTTCACCATGAAGACATGGGGATACCAAGGGAGATTGCAAAGCTTGGAGTGAGACGAGGAATGTGGGGAGCAGTGAAGAAGATGGAACTTCAATTTTGTTTGAAACTTCAATTTTAATTGAAACAATTTTGTTTAAAAGACCCAAAATGGGTTTGTGGGATAATCATGCTCTTATGAAAGTTTTTTATTGGTTATCCAACTGCTTCTTGTCAAGTATAGAGTCAAGTATATAAGTCTACTTGACAGACAATTCTTGTTACTTATTAGTCTTCTTTCTTGCAGACTTACAAAGAAGTCTACTTGACAGAGAAAAATATAACATAAGTTTATCACATTAGACAACATCCAAAGCAACAATATAGTTTATAAGTTCAACACAGACTAAAGACCTACAAATACAATAGAAGACAACTCAAAGCAATGAGACACTAGTACATAATAGAACATCCATAGCAATAAGACAACTAATAAGTTCGACACATAACACTAACACATCTAGAGTTTTTCACCACCCATTCTCTGTATACAACGAGTAATTGAGTCATCTCCTGCAAAAAAAAAATACGGTTTACATAATTAGCAAACAAAAATTTCATGTTTGATAAAATTATAAAATAGACTTACAAGTACATCTACAATTATTAGCAAACAATATAGTTAAACCAAAAATTATATCATAGACTTACAACTACGTCTACAAATTTTAAGCTAACAACATAGACAAACAAAAAATTTGATAACTTTCTAATTATAACAGATTATCTTCTGAAAATCATTCAAGACCCTTATGATTAACTAACACACACTTTCATAAATTTTTTTTTTGAAAAAACTTAATGAATAATACACAAATCCACTTTTGATAGATTTTTTAGGTAGACTCCATATTCAGTCTACAAATGTGTAGACGTTTTTTTCAGTTGACATTAGGTAGACTGCAAATTAGGTCTACGGTTGGTTGGTTTTTGCAATTTCCAAATTTACGGGTTATTTTCTGTATTTGAAAAAGATGTGATTTTATACGAGTAGACTTCTTTGTTAGTCTACATTTTTTAAAAAGTTAGTTTTGCAATTGACCAGAATTCGTTAAGTGTTTGACTTTTAGAAGTAGACTTACTATGCAGTCCACATTTTTAAATTTGTTTGAAAGATGTTAGTTTTGCAATTGACCAAAGTTGACTTTCTACTAGTAGACAAAACTAAATGTCTACATAACTGTAAACTGCAGTAAAAGTCTACACTATAACCCGACAGGTTAGTTTTGTAATTGACCAACATAAAATAGTAGACTTTATATGCAGTCTACTTTTTTTTTCTAAGATTTGTAGACTGCATATAAAGTCTACACGTAAAGTAAGTTTTAGTCAGTTTCTAAACATTTTAGTCAAATACAAAAGAAACCATTCAACAAAGTCAAAGTTTTGGTCAAATGCAAAACTGACCTTCAGCAGACTTCCCTAGCAGTCTACAAAATGTAGACTTCCAAGAAAGTCTACTATGGTAAGTCAAAATTTTGGTCAAATGCAAAACTAACCTCTTTTATGTAGATTTCTTAGTAAGTCAACCATTTTTTTTTGTTTTTGGTTTCAAAAGTAAAGACGTTGACGTACTTGTAGGTCTACATTACAAAAAAAAATTATTTTGGTCAATTGCAAAAGTAACATGTGCGTTGACAAGTAGACTGCATCGTAAGTCTACACGTAAGTGTAGACATATAATACAGTCTACTTTCGCGATACAGATCAGAGATATGACGAAAAGCATGTAAATAGTTACCTTGACACCGGTTTAAAGCTTGTTTCCAAGCTTTTCCACCATCCAGAATCTAAATATGAGCAAAAGAAGCACCTTTTACAATTCACTTGTGAGTATAATCGAAACTACGAAGTTTGTGTTTATAAAAATGAGAGTTATGAGGATTGTTTAGATGAAAATAGAGAGGAAATGAGAGAAAATGAAGTATTGTTGGTTTAGAAAGTGAAATAAGTGGTTGACAATTCATATCTTGAGCTTTAAGAGCTCATCAATGGTGGTTCATGGTGGTTGGAGATATTGATGATAATGGCATTGTTGTAAATAAGGAGAAATGTTTAGGGTGCAATAGGTTTTTTGGCATTTTCGAAATTAATAAGATATTATATAAAAATGGCAATTTTGTAAATAGTTGAAAAACATGAGGAGGGTTTGGTCTTTTTAATGGTGAATAGTAATGACAAAAAAATAGGTTGGTTTTGTGTATGACTTGAATTTTTAGGTTGGTTTTGCAAAACCCCCTTATTTATATGAAGACTATTACAAAACTTGTATAAAACATAACTATATATTACTAGAAAATGAAATATAATAAATAAATAGTATATATATATATATTTGTATTTATTACTATTTTAAAATAATTATCAATAAAAAAATACAAATCAGGCAATCCGTACTAAAAATCTAAATTTCGAACTCAAATTCGGTTTTGACGAGTCAGCCCCCTCTGGATATTCAGATTTTGGAGCAAATCCGAATCGGATCTCAGATCTAATCCAAAATTTGAATAATAAGTCCAGGATAATAAATCCTAGACCTAGTTGAAAATCATATTTCTTTGGGTCGTCTAAAATAAGATCAAGTGGTTTATCAAAATATGGGTCTGAATGTTCCCTTCTTATAACATCTCTAACCACACTATTTGAGTGTAGTTTCAACGCTAATTTTTGTCTTTTCCAATTATAACACCAAACTTCACACTAAAACACCTATTTTATATTATTATATTATATCACTGAATTATATTTATTATTATTTAATATTTAAATACAAATAATTATTAATATGTAGTTATATTGCATAAAAAACATTATACAAAAATATTTTTAAAATAGATTTTTACTATTTCAATATATAATATTATTTGAATAAACTATTTCAATTAATATCATATTTAAAAATAAATATTTAATTAACATTTTATATATATATATATATATATTTATGTAATATTTGTCATTTATTTATTTATATTTCTTAATGAAAATAAATGAATAGTGATTAGTGTGACCGATAGTACCATACCAAATTTAGTGTGAAACTAAGCCTCTTAATTCAGATGTTCAGGGTTGGATTGAGGTAGGAGACAATCAGGTCTGTGTCTTTCAAATAAATAAATTCTAGACCTAATAGATACTTAGTAAATTGTGATTCATGTTATGAATCCGGTACCACCGGTTTCATGTCGGTTTTGAGTACCCATTTAATATATGAATCATATATATATATTTACCAAATAAAATAGTTTACATATAAATCAAAGTGATCCAGTGGTTACATACTCGTTGTGGGAACCGAAATCCACACTGTCGATTTTCCGTCAAATATGGAAACTTAGGATGAAACCCTAATTTTCCCGAGGTCCTGGATCTCTGCGGAAATCACTAAAACAAACGAATTTAAAAGAATATGGATGAACAATGAAGAACAAGGAAATAAGAACTTGTATGAAAGCTTTTATTGAATGAAGAATTGACAACTGTTACAAGAAGAATTGAAGAACTTAGACGTCGAAACGTTCTAAGGATCTAGATTGCTTTTCAAAACGCTAAGTCCTAAATTCCTAAGCTAGCAGCCGTCTTTTTAGGTCTGATTTTCGTCCCCCCCTTCTGCCCTACGCCTCTGGTTTATATACTCCTTGCCTTGACGGTTCGATCTTTCCATTTTGCCCGGATTTAAGTATATCGGGAATCTTCCATTTTTCTCGATCCTTCCTTTTCTTCTGCGGAAATCTTCTATCTATCTTCAAACTTGTCTTTTATCTTCCGTCTGCGAGTAGACCGTCAAAGCGTTATCGTATCTTCGGGTTTAATTTCGTCAACGTCGCGAGATGGGTTTTTATCGTGTTTCAGGACCTTTCGGGCCGTTTTACGATAAAAACCGTTTTACGACTTTAACGAGACCGTTTCCTGATCCGATGCCGTTTTCTTACGATTCTCTCGACGTTTTTTATTAAAAACGTGTTTTTATGATTTTAACGAGAAATCTCAAATAAATCGTATAGTTTAGGCAATGTTCGGTGTTTCGTTTAACCGTTTCCGTTTTATACGATTTCCTCGAATTCTTTTCGAGAAAGCGAAGTTTTACGGTTTTTATCGTAAAACTCGAACGATAGGTCGGATCGAGACGGAACGGGAGACGTTTCGGCCGTGGTTCAGAATGGGACCGTGTTGAAAGACGTAAGTTTCGAATCGGGGATGCGGGAGATCGAGGCGCGGGATATCCGGGAAGTCTCTAGTTCGTCCAACGGCGAACTAAGCCGGGCCGGCTTAGTTCGCCGGTGGGCGAACTAGTCGAGTGCCTCCTAGTTCGCCGGTGGGCGAACTAGTCGTGACTCGCGTTTTACGGCTGTTTCGGTTTTTTGCGGTTTCGTAAAACGATTCTTTGAGTTTTATAAAAAGATTCTCGAGTTTTATAAAGCGATTCTTCGAGTTTTATAAAACGATTCTTCGAGTTTTATAAAACGATTCTCGAGTTTTATAAAACGATTCTTCGAGTTTTAGAAAACGATTCTCGAGTTTTATAAAACGATACTTCGAGTTTTATAAAACGAATCTAGAGTTTTATTAAAACGATTCTCTAGTTTTATAAAACGATTCTTGGAGTTTTATAAAACGATTCTAGAGTTTTATAAAATTATTCTCCGAGTTTTATAAAACGATTCTCGAGTTTTATAAAACGATTCTTCGAGTTTTATTAAAACGATTCTCGAGTTTTATAAAACGATTCTTCGAGTTTTATAAAACGATTCTCGAGTTTTATTAAAACGAATTTCCGTTTTAATAAATGACTTTTGCGGAAAGTAATGATTCCAGAAGTTATCGTAGACGTTGATTTCGAGATTATGGTTTTTGACACCAACAGTTAGCCCCCCAGCCTGCAATTCCTTGAGGAAATTTTGCTGGCGGATGGAGTTAGTTTTTAAATCGGAATCTACGGCTAAGATTTGTCTCATTACGAGGAAGAGCTCTTTTTCTCTATAAGTATTGGATCATTACTTCTCATATCTTCCACCTCTCAAGTTTCTCTCCAACTTCTCTCTAGAAAAATTTTAAGATGTCTTCTTCCCAAGGTGATCAACA